GGATCTTGAACATGACAATGAGTTCACTGTACTCAAATGGCCTCCACAGTCACCAGAGCTCAATCCAATAGAGCACCTTTGGGATGTGGTGAAACGAGAGATTGGCATTATGGATGTGCAGCCGACAAATCTGCAGCAATAGTGTGATGCTATCATGTCAATATAAGGCAAAATCTCTGAGGAGTATTTCCAGCACCTTGTTAAATCTTTTCCATGAATGATTAAGGCAGTTCTAAAGGGTCCAACCCGGTACTAATAAGGCGTACCTAATAAAGTGGCCGGTAAGTGTAAATTACCAGAAATTCACATAAGAAATTTCCAAAATCGCATAAAACCTTATAATTCAATTTTAAAAAATTGATGTTTTTGTGAGATATGAGGACACAAATGTGTATAATGACTCTGGTATGACACAGATTATAAGCAGATGGTGAATTATGAGGACATTGCTGATGTTTTTGTTTCTCAAAAGGCTTATAAATCATACAGAGTTAGATTTTTTAGGAATTAAAACTGCAGTTTCTTGTAAAGGTTGGGGTTACGGTTGCGGGAGGGCCACAGAAACATGCATTTGATTGTAATTAGTTGTATTTTGTTTACATATGCAAGTCTAGATTGTGTGTAATGGTTCATTTATAAAGCACTTTGGTCAACATTTGTTGTTTTTAAATGTGCTGTAGACCATTTTAATGTGGTCATCATATCATCCATTAACATTTCTTGCTTATAAAACTATTTCGTAACTAACAAGAGGCAATTCCATCATAACTTGATGTTGAAACTGCTGTAACATTATTTACCAATAAGTGGCTCTTTAGGATTCTCGGAAGCTATAGAAATTAAAAATTGTAAAACAGGGAATACGTTTTTGTTTACATCTCTCAACATGTGCTATAAATGTACGATCACAACTTTCAGGAAATCAGTCGGGCAATAAATTGACTTTGGTTTCATTTCAATTAAAGATGTTTACTGAATTCTCATGCGGTATAACAATAAATACCAGTCAAAAAACTGTGTTGCCCTGGCTGTCTTTCCCTTTTATATCTCATAATATAACTTAAAACAGTCTAATAAAGGCGGAGAAAACCATCACAAACAAAGGGGTAGGGGTGAAATCAGCAAATGTACACAACTTAACACATTAACATATGTAAACCGTACATGTATTTCAGCACTACTAATATACATATTAAATTAAATTACGGCTCCTACATTATAAATAAAACAAACAATAGAGCTTGTACAGTATAAAAAAAATGGAAACTAATGTAATGTCCTCACAATTGACTGAAACTTCACTTGACACAATTGACAAAATAAATGCATGTGTGTGTTATTTAAATGTTAAATGTTTCTCATGACTGATGCATCAAATCCTCCTCATACAGTTTGAACCATAATTATGTACGGCTGTTACTACAACCTTCTCCACAGAGTGTGCAGTGCATGAGTCTGACCTGCAGGAGTCAGCAGAGTCTCAATATTTTGAATATTAATTACTTTTTTCAGTTTTAAGTATTAAGTGTTAAGAGTTTTCTTTTTTACATGAAAGGGTTACAGCAATCTGTATGATATGCATTAAATAATAATAATAATAATAATAATAATAATAGAGTAATAATACATTTTATTTATAAAGCACTTTACATTTGAAATAAAATCAAAATGCCACTAAAGAAGCATAAAGAAAGAAGGAAAAAAAGACTCCGATTTACGCATAAACACTAAAAAAAACTTCATTAACTCTTGTTTAAAAGTATTTTGTAGCTGTAGTTTTTCACTAATGACAATTCAGTTTTCTTGGTCCGTTTGGTCCAAATAAAAAAGAAGAAATGTACACATTTAATTCAGTTTGTTTGGAAGTGGAGCGAGACGCATTTTGTTTCAGTCTGCTCGTTTAGTTCATGTGCCTGTGTTCACACTTATTTAAATGAACCGCACTTATTTAACAAAGCAGTCACACCTCGTTTTATCTGATCCTGCCTCATTTTATATGACACCTCAGTTCATTTCAATCAAACCAAGCCTGCCAAGTGTGAACACACTCTATTGACCTCTAATAACCCTGCAGAAAGCTGACAAACACTGCAAAAACTCAATAATGTGGTGCTTTAGTCTCACTGTAGGACATTTAGAGATGCCAAGTATTAACATTTCACATTCTAATGATCACTATATGTATTGGACATGTTGCAGTGTAGATTTGTAGGGTTTTATGTTGTTTTATCTCTGTAACTCTTTACAGTTATTTGTCTCAAAGCAGCTTTACAGAAAATGATGCATTCTTGTATTAAGTAGTTTTGAATGGGAGTTTTTTTGTCAGGCAGCATAAGCATTATAGCATGTGTGGTTATTAGCATTTGCATGGCGTGATGATGATGATGCTGTAGTAAACTATGGGATTATATTTGTGGCAACAAAAAATACTTACTATTAATGAAATCTGCAAAAATGTATTTGGTTTTCGAGGGTTTTATTTTCACAAATCATATAATTTCTGAACAGTTGTTGTTTTTGTCATTTATAGAGTGATTTTCCTATTTTGCAATTGTGTATTGGTTATTAATTCTGTAATTAAAGACACAACTGACAGAATGGAAAAATAGCTGAATGGAGCACATACTAACTTGCATATCATTCAGTCAATAGATGTCGCCAAACACACACAAAAAACAGTGGCATAAAGCACTGGGATTAATTAGTGTTGTTCAGCGGTTGTTATCTCAGAATAACATACCTTGGAATGACACAACCGACCAATCGGAGTCAAGAATTCCAGTCAGTTGTGTAATAATTAAGGAACAAAGGCGGTTGTTTTCACAGAATAAAGCCAGACAGGCATATAAAACATTGTATGAGACTAAAGAGCCTAATTATTTAAAAACAACCAACTGGATGTATATTAGCATGCTTTTTATATAGAAACTTGCCACAAAACTCAAAAAATTACACACTAAACATTGTTCTGAGACTTAATAAGTTAATTATTCTTTGATTAAAGGCAAAACTGACATAAATGAAACCGGCTGAATGGGGCATACACTAACCTACATATTATTGAGACACTAGATAGCGCCAAACACAAAAAAAACAGCAGCGTAAAGTACTTGGATTAATCAGTGTTATTCAGCGGTTGTTATCTCAGGATAACATACCTTGGAATATTACAACCGACCAATCAGAGTCAGTATTCCAGATAATTTGTGTAATAAGTAAGAAATATTACTTATATTTCTATTATATATTTTTATATTTCTTTATTAGTTTTAATATTGAGCCAGACATGTGCTTATATAAGACTGAAGGGCTTTATTCTTCGAAAACAACCACCCAGATTTACTCTATCTTGATTTTCACACAGATTATTAAAATGAAAACACTAACCTGGATATTATTCAGTCATGAGATGGCACCAAACACAAAAACAGTAGTGGAAGTACTTGGATTATTCATCATTATTCACTGGTTGTTATCTCGGAATAACATACCTTGAAATGTTGCGACTGACCAATCAGAATCGAGTATTCCAGTCAGTCGTGTAATAATAAGTTAGGGTGAAAGTCATTTAAAATATTTTTGTATCTATGTAAAATACTTGTATTATTCAGCGGATGTTATCTTGGAATAACACACCTTGAAATTGTCCGAGCGACCAATCAGAATCAAGTATTCCAGACCATCGTGTAATAAATCAAGATGCGCTCATTTTTAGTCACAAATATATCTCCATAGTAAACAGCCGTCAGAAGAAGACGTGGCTGTTTATATGAGTGTGTGGAGGGCATGACAGCGGCTGAATAAACGGCGTTTGGATGAAGGATGACACTTTGACAGTGATGTTTCCTGCACTGTTGACTTGTGTGTCTTTTCCAGGTGGATAAACTGCAGGAGGCTGAAAGCCAGAGAGCGTCTGAAGAGCAGAGTCCTGAAGCCTCATCTATAGTCTACGGTACGTCACCATCAGTCTGTCTGGAGTGTTTAAAGTCCCCATAAAAAAATACCATCAGATATATGGAGTTGAAGTCAAATGTATTTGTGTAAATGTATTTCTTTTTGAAATATTTTCCAAATTATGTTAAACAGAGCAAGGAATTTTTCAGAGTATTTCTATCGGATCAAATTCCCGCCTAAAGTATCGATGTCGCGGATAGAAAAAAAATGTGCATCAAATCATTGACATTGCGTGTAAAATTAATACACACAAAAGTGAGAACTAAACGCGGAATAAGAGACAAAGAGGTCGTGTACCAAAAGATAATGAGTGTAAATATAAAAATGAAGACTGTATAGACTCTTGTGTGTATAATGTTTGTTTGTTTTTAGTTGCATTTCGTTGCGTGCTTTAAAAGCTGATTCTCTGACTCGTGCGTCTCCTGCAGTCTCTTTAATCTGTAATAGTGAGTGGACAGAAAGCTTTCTGAAGTGTTTGAGATGCAGAATCTCTCACAGATCATTGTCCACTTTAAAGGTGAACTGCTCATTAATATGAATGTGTGTGTGTGGTTATTTGTCTGTTAGTTTGTTTGTTTGTTTATGTTAACTTTTGTTTGTGTGTGTGTGTGTGTGTGTATGTGCGTGTTCATTTGGGTGTTCGAGTATGCAGGTTTATTGTTTGTGCTTGTGTGAATGTGTGCTGTTGTTTGTGGGCTGGTGTATTCTTGTGTGCACGTGTTTGTGTGTGTGTGTGTGTCTGTGCGTCTGTGTGTCTGTGTTTGTGTGTATTTTTGTGTGTGTTTGTGTGTGTATACGTGTATTTTTGTGTGTGTCTATGTGTTTGTGTGTATTTTTGTGTGTGTCTGTGTGTGTTTGTGTGTGTTTGCGTGTATTTTTGTGTGTGTCTGTGTGTTTTTGTGTGTGTATGCGTGTATTTTTGTGTGTGTGTGTTTGTGTGTGTATGCGTGTATTTTTGTTTATGTTTATGTTTGTGTTTGTTTGTGTGTGTGTGTGTGTGTGTGTTTTTGTTTGTGTAAACGTGTATTTTTGTGTGTGTTTGTTTGTATGCGTGTTTTTGTGTATGCATGTTTGTTTGTGTGTGTATTTTTGTGTGCATGTGTTTTTTTGTGTGTATGTTTGTCTGTTTGTGTGTGTCTGCTGTGTATATGGTTGTGTGTGTGTGTGTTTATTTGTCTTTCTGTCTGTTTGTTTGTTTGTTTGTATGCCTGTGGGAATGTGTGTGTGTGTGTGTCTGTCTTTCCATTTGTGTATGTTTGTTTGTCTGTTTGTGTGTGTGTGTGTGTGTATGTTTGTTTGCATGTGTGTATGTGTATTTGTGCTTGTGTATGTGTGTATTTGTGTTTCTGTTTGTGTGTGTTTGTTTGCATGTGTGTCTCTGTGCATTTGTGTTTGTGTGTCTGTAAATGTGTGCGCGCATGCGTGTGTGTATGCGTGTGTGTGTCTGTGAATGTGTGTGTGCAGGTCAGCAGCTGACGTTGAGCAGCAGTCATCCTCCCGTCTCTCCTCAGCCCAGTTTTCCAGCGTACGGCTTCACTCCCCCAGTTTACGGCTTCAACCTGCAGCCCTGAGTCCGGCCTGCGCATCCGTCACTCCTGCTGGGAATTCTGGGAAATATGTGCCTGTGCTGCATTCAGGAAGCATGAAAACTCTCTGCAAACACACACACAAGCGGCACGAAACACTCACAACACACACACACACCACATGCTACTTGTTAACTTACAGCTGAACACAATATTATTCACCCTCCTGTGATATGTTCATTCTGCATCTCATTATTGATATTGGGCGACACGGTGGCACAGTGAGAAGCACAATCACCTCACAGCAAGAAGGTCGCTGGTTCGAGTCCCGGCTGGGTCACTTGGCGTTTCTGTGTGGAGTTTGCATGTTCTACCCGTGTTGGTGTGGGTTTCCTCTGGGTGCTCCGGTTTCCCCCACAGTCCAAACACATGCGCTATAGGGGAACTGATTAACTAAATTGGCCGTAGTGTATGAGTGTGTGTGTGTGTGTGTGTGTGTGTGTGTGTGTGTGTGTGTGTGTGAATGAGTGTGTATGGGCGTTTCCCATAACTGGGTTGCAGTTGGACGGGCATCTGCTGTGTAAAACTTATGCTGCATAAGTTGGCGGTTCATGCCGCTGTGGCGATCCCAGATTAATAAAGGGGCTAAGCCGAAAAGAAAATGAATAAATGAATACATGATTCATGAAAAAAAAGAATTGTTCCACTTTTGATTTTTTATTTTATTTTTTGGTTTGTTTTATTTTTAGTTTTATATTTAATTTTAATAATGATAAATAATTACATTTTCATGATTCATTGCCAAATTTGTCCTGCTTATTATTTAATAAATTTAATTTTTGTTTGTTTTACCAACGATAAATAATTATTGATTATTACATGATTCATTACAAAATTTGTCCTGCTTACTATTTAATTTTTTTTTCATTTTATTTTATTAATTTATTTTATTTTGTTTTTTTTATTTTATTAATTATAAATAATGTTTTCATGAGACATTTAAAAATTGTTCCACTTAATATTTTTTCTTTTATTTTTCTTTATTTTTTTATTGTTTAATTTTATTTAGCTTTATTTTATTTTACTAGATTTTTTTATTTTGTTTTACCAACGATAAATGATTACCAATTAATACATGATTCATTACAAAATTTCTCCCACTTACTATTTTATTTTACTTTATTTGTTTTATTTTATATTTTTTTACCAATGATAAATAACAAATTATTAATTAGTACATGATTCTTTACATATTTTGTTCCTCTTACTGCTTTATTATTTTATTTTTTATTATGTTAATATTTTGTTTTACCAATGATAAATAGTTGTCAATTAATACGTGATTTATTACATACATGATTAATTTGTCCTGCTTACTATTTATTTTATTTTGATTTATTTTGTGTTATTTTTATTTTGTTTTACCAACGATAAATAAGTATTGACCAATACACAATTCATTACAAAATATGTCCCAGTTACTGTTTTGTATCTTTTCTCATTTTATTAACAGTAAATATTGATTAATATATGATTCATTGTAAAATTTCCCCCACTTATTTTTAAATTCTATTTTATTTTATTATAACCAACAATACAGACGCCGTTATTATTATTATTATTTTTCTTAATTTAAACAAGTTAATATAAATTATTTAAAAAGCATAACGTGTATATATAGTTAATACAGTTTAGTCCTGCATTTTACCCCTTTATCCAGCCAAACTAAAAGTAGTAAGACTTTCTCCAGAAGATAATAGGAAACACTCTGCACAATGTCCTTGCTCCCTTAAACATCTCTCAGGACATATTTGAAATAGAATTACAATTTCACAGGAAGGTGAATAATGTTATGGTCAGCCATATATCATCATTATTTCAGTTTGATCAGAAGCATTGCACTGATGATGGACACTAAACCATACTAAACTCATGTAGTGTGCACACTAGTGAGGGCGAACGGTACGATTTCGTCACCGTCCCACTTTTATTTGTTTAATTCTGCAGTATTAGCTTTGTTTACATTTCAAGCGCTACAAAATGTGAGCGTCTGTTTATTTAATAATATCTCATGTTTACTTGGTCAGTGTAGCGGTTAATTGCGCATGATTATTAATGCTTTCTCTGGGGCTGTGGATGCGTGTTCCTGCAAGCCATATGCACTGTCTATAGTGTAATGTTGTAGTTAAAAGAGACCTTAATTTTTTTAGGAAAACAGTATGCAAAATATGAATAAAAATACACAAAAACATTGTCGCGGGTTTTTGTGGCGACTCGTTAGACTGAATGATGAGAATAAAGTTTACATGTTCAGTTCTGGCCTTTCTGTGCACTCTTTCACCGTCATCCTGCGGGACACTCTGAAACATGCTGGGTTGTTTAACCCAGGGTGGCATGATAGTTCAGTGGTTAGCACTGAGGCTTCACAGCAAAAAGGTCACTGGTTTGAGTCCTGGCTGGGTCAGTTGACGTTTCTGTGTGGAGTTTGCATGTTCCCCCCACGTTGGCATGGGTTTCCTCCGGGTGCTCTGGTTTCCCCAACAGTCCAAAGACATGCGGTTCAGGTGAATTGGGTAGGCTAAATTGTCCGTAGTGTATGAGTGTGGAAGGGCAGCTGGAAGGGCATCCGTTGTGTAAAACGTGCTGGATGGGTTGGCGGTTCATTACACCGTGTTGACCCCGGATTAATAAAGCACTAAGGTTAAAAGAAAATTAATGAATGAAATTGGCTGTAGTGTGTGTGTGTGTGTGTGTGTGTGTGTGTGTGTGTGTGTGTGTGTGTGTGTGTGTGTGTGTGTGTGTGTGAGTGAGTGTGTGTGTGTGTGTGTGTGTGTGTGTGTGTGTGTGTGTGTGTGTGTGTGCGCGCGCGCGCGAATGAGTGTATGGGTGTTTCCCAATACTGGGTTGCGGCTGAAAGGGCATCCACTGCGTAAAAAAACAAATGCTGGAATAGTTGGCGGTTCATTCCGCTGTGGTGACCCCTGATTTAGAGACTAAGCCAAAGGAAAATGAATGAACGAATGAATGTTTTACCCCAATGTTGGGTCAAATATCGACAAACCCAGCTGTTGGGGTTGTCCATATTTTACATACAGTAATATTGGGTTACAACAACCCAGCATTTTAAGAGTGTGATTTATTGTTATTTATATATTTGTTTTATTATAAAACAATGTTGAGTCTAATACGGAAATTCCCACCATGCTGTAGGTTGAAGAAGTGTCATTTTAATTTAATTGAAATACTTAACTTAAATGCTGGGTTGGTCCAAATTTGACCCAATGTTTAAAACAACCCAGGATTTTTAGAGTGGATTTTATTGTGTGGTTTATTTCCAGAAATTTAATTACATTATTTAATTACAATTTTTTTTATTTACCCGTTATTAAATGATATTTGCATACTCTAAAAAGTTCTGGGTTGTATTCTAACCCAATGTTAGGGCAAAAACCCAAACATAGGATTAAGAAGTGCCATTTTAAATTAATTTAAAAATGTAACCCAATGTTTTAGTTTGTCCATATTTGACCCAATGTTGGGTTACAACAACCCAGCATTTTTAGATTGTGATTTATTGTCTGGTTCATTTATTGTTTGTGCTCCATAAATCAAATGACATAGTTTTACTCAAATATTTAATATCAAGCTCAGTCATGAAATAATATTTGCGTACTCTTAGAGAAAAATCCTGGGTTGTAACCCAACATTGAATCAAAAAAGGACAAGCACAAACAGGGTTAAAAAGTGTCATTTAAATTTAATTGAAAATTTTAACCCAAATGTTGGGTTTGTTCAAATTTGCCCCACGTTAAGTTTCAACAACCCATCATCTTTAGAGTGCCCCTGGTAGATCACTGCTACAGTTATAGGATACGTTTATTGTTAATATTCCAAAAATCCTATTGCATATTTCTCTGTATTCTCTCAAATCATTAAATTATATTTCATTATATATACATCAATATATATAGAGAGATTTATATTATATACTCTAAAATGCTGGGTTGTATTTTAACCCAACATTGGGTCAAATATGAACAAACCCAACATTTGGTATATTTTCAACTAATTTAAGTGAAACCTTTTAACCCAATGGTTGAGTTTGTCCATTTAGACCCAATGTTGGGCTACAACAACACTGCTTTTTTTTAGTTGTACGATACACTTACTGTTTATGTTTTTATACATTTAATTAAAAAATGTTACTCAATTTTTTAATATTACCTCCACTCATATTATTATATTTGTTTACTCTAAAATATCTTGTGTTGTCGGGTTGAAAAGTGTATGACAACCCAGCATTTTTAAAAATTGATTTATTGTTTATGTTTTAGAAATTTAATACAATTTTAGACATTTTTTTTATATGCGCTCCAGTCATGATGATGAAATTACACTCAAAAAATGCTGGGTTGTCATGACCCAACATTGGGTCAAATATGGACTTTAATATCTAAATATATAAATGACTTAATAAAAACTGTGTTGCTTTAAGAAATATTTTATTCTATTTAGAATTAAATTATAAATAATTAAATTAATGTAAATCTGTTTGTGATCTGTAGTTTATTGTTTATTAACTTCTCAACAAATATTTATTTAATAAAATAATAAATAAATAATGCAATTTATTTATCATTTATGTATGGAGGTTCAAAACTCGAAAAAAAAATTATCAAGTAATTATTAATAAAATAAAAGAATATCAATAAAATGATTAAACAAATGCTGTTTTTAAAGTAAATTTTAATCCTATAATCCTTTATTGCTTTTTGTATTTATCAACTTATTTCAAAGTTATTTATTTATTGATACATAATACTTGATTCTTTTATTTATTTATTCCTAATTTTATTTTCTTTTTAACAGTTTTATTCTTTGTGTATATAAATATCATTATTTTTCTGTATTGCAGTCTGAGTTTATTCTAACTTATTTTTATTTGCATTTATTATTCTATTTATATTACAGGGTTCTTTTATTTATGTATTCTTTATTTTTATTTGTTCTATTATATAAAATAATTTAGGTATTTTATTATTTTCTATTTATTGCTTTTAAAGTTAATTTATTGTATTTATGCATATTGAATCTCCTTTTCTATTTTATGTACTATTTATTGGTATTTATTTAACTTTATTTAATTTTCTTTTGTTTAATTTTTAAGTATGTGTTTATATAAAGGAAGATGATTTGTATATAATTAATCAATTATGGATATGGAAAGTTAATAACTATAAGTAAATATACACATTAAAATTAAATGTAATTTAAATTTTACTTTTTAAAAATTGTTATATCACCATTTTTTAATGAATGCATGTTGTTTCCACTGTGTTGTCTTGTGATTGTAAGTAAATGTACAAAT